AACACACCACACAACACCCACACACACACACTATGGTCTGGCAGTCTGCCCCGCGTTTGTGGCCCCGCGGCAGGCGAGAGGCTTTCACGTATTGAGCCGCCTCGGCATTTAATGCTTTGCCGCTGGAGTTTGCCAACATCTCGGTCAGGGAGTCTCCACAAACACAGAGTCTGAAACGTCACTAGCTTGCGACTTCCAATGTTCATGCGTGACGGCTACTGGCTATGCCCCCTCTTTTATTGCTACTTTCTGACAGCTGACGAGGTGACGGTTCGATGTATGCACTGTTTGAATGTCCTCGGCCCATGTAACTGTATCATGTATATGCCTCGAGTTACTGAATATCTTGTGGCTTCGCCAGGTACGGATCCAGAGAGGGGGGGGGGGGACACGGGTCACGGGCCCATGGCCTATGGGCCCCTTCGGAGCCCATAGGCTCCAGACGTGCCCGATAGCCGACCGAACATGTGCAGTTTTTTAAACACAAAACGCAATAAAATTGAACATCTTTGGATTTCCAGGCGACCAAGGGCAGCTGCAGGCGAAAGTGAAGGACACACGAGAAGACCATTTGTTCAATGATTGAAAAATTGTTAGTTGGAAATTAAACCTTATTACGCTGTTCAGGGGCCCATGCTGTTTCCAGAAGACTTATGTGCCCTCTTGCAGGGTTATTCTGGTTGTTAAGCAGCCTGCCACGTTGAGCTTGATTTCTTTGCATTTGCTGGGCCCTTTCTGCTGGCGTGCCGGGGCGGGGCGTCCTTGTTAATCAGAGGCCTTCCACGGATACTTTCCATTTACCCGAAACACTTTATACGCTAGGGCCGGAGGGTCCCATATGTTGACACGCCGGGGTATTCTCGGTTACACAGGGGCCCTTAAGGCGCGTTGGTCTCCGTTAACTTACTAATTAACGTTAGCCACACTAGCGATATGCCCATGGGTCCTCTACATTGGTCTAGGGCCCCTCCAATCCTCTGTCCCTTGCTTAGGGCCCTATGCTCTTGTCAGGGGTCCATCGAGATATCTATCTGTATCAAGGTCCATGCCATCTGAAAGCGTGCTCTGTCACATTCCATCATTCTGGGGACCTCCGCACTGGGTCTTGAGTACGTCCCCCTTGAATGGAGAGCCCTACGCTCTTGACGGGGGCCCTATGTCTTAACCTGCTTGGGCATACTCGGTCGTTCGGAGCACTCCAAATCGGGTCTGGGGTACTTTCTATTTGAATGGAGGGCCCCTACGCTCCTGCCGAGGCCCATCTGATAACCTGCTCGGTCACACTCATCATTCTGGGGACGTCTGCCTCGGGTCTTGGGTACTTCCTGTTTCAATGGAGAGCCCAACGCTTTTGACGAGGCCCTGTATGTTAACCTGCTAGGGCAAACTCGATCGTTCGG